TGACGTTCCGCTTTCTCTCTTTCTCCCTCCCTCTCCTGTCTCTTATACACATCTAGATGTGTATAAGAGACAGGCAATAAAGAGTTTTTGGCGCTGGTTTCCGGGTTTATGAAAACAAATACTTCTCAGCTGCATCATTGTGGAGGAAGAAGAATAAATAAATAAATACAGATTGAGACCGAGGAAGATTGGAAGGGGTCGAGAACAGGAAGACATGGGGAAACATAATTTTTAGCGTTGGAAGGGGAAAACAAGAGGACGTGGGGGGAGATGTGGATTTGCTGAGACATGGGGAAGGATATTGTGGGTGGGGTGGTAGAATTTGCCTGTGGGGTGTCTGGCCTATTGATGAGGTTGATTGTGACTGACGGAGGGCAGAGATAAACACGTAAAACCACTGGGGAGCTGTTAAACCACCGGTCCCCCTGATGTAAAAAACCTCAGGGGTACCGGTAGCGCCGTTTCACGACGACTACCGGTAGCACAGTATGGAAAACCGGGCGGGCCTCCGTACGGAATTTGCAACGAAAATTGGAAATAAACCAAATCAGCGCGGTGAATATTTCACCATCAAAATGATTTATTTATTTTTTAATGATATTTTTTCCTGAAAGACCACAACCTAATCTACACACCCTCAAATTTTCAGACATTTTCATTATTTCTTCTGAGTACGAAAAATCGGCGAAGTTGCCGCTTGCAAAATGGCGGGATTGGACCCGTCGGCCTCCGTACAACCCGGCGCCTTTGTACGGTCGCCGCCCCTCTGTACAACCCGGCCCTAACTCACAGTGACTAGGGGTTTTCAGTGGCGGGGGGGTCGGTGGTTTAAGCAGTTCTCTTTTGAACGTTATGGGGTTTTTTTTTTTTGTGCTGTCTCTTATACACATCTAGATGTGTATAAGAGACAGACGGAAGTGTTTGATGTACCAATCGAGATCTTTGATAGGTGAGACTTTCTTGATTGTACGTTTATGAATTGATGGATGGTTGAGTTCTGGTCTGA